GATGATGAACAAAATGAGGGGAAATCTATATATATATATATGCTTTAAGAGTGTGTCCTTCTGATTTCTTCAGGGGCTGTTTAATGAAACTGGGAGGTAATAGCATGACCCTCAGGAACAACTGTGGACAACTTTCTTTTTTTTTATTTTTATTTTTTTTTTAAAAAGAAGAGTTAAAATAAAAAAAGCCAACAGAAAACTTTTTGTTACTATTATTGCTGACTGAGCTTTACTGCAGAATAGCAAAGTTAAAGCCATGAACAAGGGAGATGAAATTTCTCTAGGATTTGGGAAATAATACTGCATATGTTTGTTTCTTTGTTGGTGGACATCATTTGCTTGAGTATAAACTTGCACATAAGATCATATACTCTAATTTTGATCTACACAATTTCACCATAAAATATACTATCTATTATTGAGAAGTGATCTTGTTTACCTATGATCTGCTTTCAACTCTGAACTCTATGCAAAGATGTTGGGTATGGAGAAGACTGAAGTGATAGGACTACATGCTCAAACAAAGCTGCATGCCTTATTCTTAGCTATTTGTTCGTTCTCTAGGATACTTTTAGTTGGCTAGTATCTTTTTTTTTTTTTTTTTTCTTGGAAGTTAACAAAAGTTGTAACTGGCTGAGCTTTAAAATAATACCTCTGACTCTACACTCAGTTTGTGGAAGGATCTTCAGGGATCATAAACGTTACCCTTCCTAAAAGGTCGTATTATGGATACATATCTTATAACTGTGTTTGTAATGTTGTAGCTTTTGTAGAGGTTCCAAAGTGTCTGACAGAACTTGGCAAAGAAAGTGGGAAACATGGCTGCTCCTCTGCAGAACCCCACTGCACCTGGAAGTGATGAGGACTTTGTTTTTTTTTTTTTTTTTTTTTTTTTTCTTTAAAGAAGTTACAGAACATTAAGCATGCAGTTTGCTTCAGGATAGGCTGAGAATGCAATTGCATGCATGTTCCTACAGTATGATGGGTTTTTTTGTTTGTTTGTTTGTTTTTGAAGGACAGTACAAGATAGCAAGACAGCTGTTTTCTGTGGTAAGACTTTAGTTACCTTTGTCTCTTAAATTACTGCATTAGCTTCTCTTCTGCCTAAGTTCAAGCAGTTTAAACTGATTCAGGCTAGTAATTACTAAAATTACAAGGATAACATATTAAAAATTTGGCTTTAGAATGCATAAAATTGAAGTGCACTTGAAGAGATGATGTGAGCAGAGAATGCTACAAAAGTATTGAGTGAGGGTGCTGGCAGCCACAGTTGCAGGGGAGGAGGAATCAGGGTAGCTGGCTGCAACAGCCTTTCCTCAGGGCACAGTTGGGCTCAGCAGCCAGGATGACAGTGCCTCTGCAAAACAGGCTTTAGAGAGGGTAGAAATGCTGCAGAGCTCAGTGTGAGATGGAGAGAAGCATGAGAAGCAACCCTGTGAAGGTCAAGGTGAGAGAAGGAGTGCAGAGGAGGTTCTCCTGAGAGCCAAGATTCCTCTGCAGCCTGTGGAGGAGGCTATGCAAGAACAGATAGGTCTCCATGAGCTGCACCAAAGCAGGTGGGTAATCCCTGGAGGAACTGCAGCCTGTTGAGAACCTATGTAGACCAAGGAAAAAGTGAGAGGGAAGGTGTGAGAGAGGAGCTGGTCTAGGAGCTGGCCAAGGCCAACACACCACAAAAATATTGAGTTATATACACAATAAATACTTGGGATCCAATATTTGTATCTTGATTGCTTTTTTTCCTGGCCCCTAATAGAATATGTATACTACTGACTTTGTGATGTTGGATACCTAAAATGTGGAGTTTTTCTTACTTTTTCTTTCTTACTGTAGTTCTTGGATAATTTCCAGTTAAGCCATATGTGATATAGCATCTTTTAAATATATTTTGGTGTGTTTTATTTAGTACTTGACTTCTGTAACGTAGCAAGGAATTGCTAGAGAGCTGCAATAAGGGTGCTGTTTGATTTGCTTCACTTGCTATCAGAACAATTTTTGAGTTAGTGTCTCCCTGTACCTTTGTGTTTCTGTGTGGCATGGAAAGTTTGAGCTTATGGTTGTCTTCAGTAAAAGTTTAGGAATAGTGTGTAAATCCTGAAAAGTTATGATAGTGATGCCAGGCAGGTCTTTATTGCTTCATGTAACACTTACTGACCTCCATATATTTCCAGTAGGGAGCTGAAGACAGCAGTAAGTTTTACCCTTAGCTGCTGTCTGTTAAGGGCTCAACGACCATTCCCTCATCTGCTCTTTGTATGTACATTATGTGCTCCAGGCCCCTCAGCACCTTGGTAGCCTTGCAGTGCACTTGCTGCAGCCTGTTAATGCCTGTTTTGTACCAGAGAGTTCCCAGATGTTGCCTCACAAGTGGAGATGTGAGCAGAGCCAGATGGATCTGCTGGGTATGCTGTTGCTGTATCTTATATATGTATGTAGTCCGTAATAGAAATGTCTGAATGACAAGATCTGTGAAATGATACTGCAGAAAGAAATGCTTGTTTCTCAGTTGAAGTCTGACTTCAGTACTGGTGTTTTGTTGGGTTTTCTATTATAGGTTCTGTTTCTTCTTTATGGACCAGCCAACTATAGTCCATTTATGGTTAAAAAGTATTTTAGTGTGTGCTTTGTGCAGATTCATGTTATTAAAAGCTAAGGAAATGGCAGTATTTTAAAGTATTGCCATATGTTCAGTATGAAGCAGTACAAGTTTATCAAACGGCAGTTTTATTAGTGGGACTTTCTTAACACAGACCTATCTGCTTTGAACCACTCCCATTCTGGATGCAGTGAAAGCCTTGATATTAATTGCCAAAGTATATTTCCAGAGTAAAGGAACATTTGAGGGTGTGTGATTTCTTCTGCATGATAAAATGAATGTGCAAAACAAGTAATGATTCATCAACTATAATTACCTAGCGAAAAATATTAGTAAGGGGAGAAAAAAGACTTGATAGGTTAACACTGTTTTCCGTATGGAATTTACTTTGAAGTCTATGAATAATGCTCAAAATTTTAATCTATCTCGTTTTTCTCTCAATTTCCTGGCATTTAATGTCACTTAATTTATTTGTATACGATGATAAAGGCTTTCAGAAATATTCTGGACAGCAAGAGTACTGCAGAGGCACTCACATAACCTATTGAACAACAGAAACACAGAATTCTTCTATTTGAGATTTTCCTGTAATTTTTCTAGGATTGCAGTAACAATACATATGTTGAAAAAAACATATTTACAATCAATGTATTATTTCCTTCAAGTTTACTACATACCTACCTATTCCTAGGTCTGTAAGAAGTTTAGGTGTGGTGATTAAAGTTGTGAATAAACATATTTATCTTCCTTTAATGTAAATTTCAATGTCAATTAGATGAAAAGATAGTCTGGTATTTCAAAGGGGATACTACAGAAGCTGTTTTTGTTAATGAGCTTGTAAAGACTCCACATTATAGGAGTGATGCTTATTACCATAATAGAATCAAAACAGGAAGTCCTAGAAACAACAGCTCAATTGGGGTCATATATAGATAGAATCATAGGATTGCTGAGGTTGGAAAAGACTCCCCAGTTCATCCATTTCGGCCATCCATCTACCACCAATATTTCTCCTCTAAACCATGTCCCTTAGTACAACATCTAAACATTTCTTGAACACAGTGACTTAAACACCTACCTGAGCAGCCTGTTCCTGTATGTAACTACTCTTGTAGAGAAGTTTTTCCTAATATCCAACCTGAATCACCCCTGGCACAATTGGAGATTATTCCCTTATTGCTAGTTAGGCAGAAGAGGAAGCTGACACCCACCTCACCACGACCTCCTTTCATATAGTTGTAGAGAGCAATAAGGTCTTCCTGAGTCTTTTTTTTTTTTTTTTTTTTTTTTTCCCCTGCAGGCTAAACAATCCTAGTTCGCTCAGCTGCTCCTCCTAAGACTTGTGCTCCAGATCCCTTACTACTTTGTTGTCATTATGAATCAAAACCTTATCAAGTGGAGCAAATACTGACCAGTAATGACGTAGCTAAACAGTGTAGTTCTGCATTTATGTAATAATTTCTTTTTGAGTGACTTCTCCCCCCCCGTTCCTTGCTTACAAGTTGTGAAGCATTGAAGCTCAGTTATATCTTTCTGTGTTTCAACATGGTTTGTCTTCCTTCCCCCGCAGTAGATAAGAGTTTCCTAAAACAGAGCACTTTGAAACCCTTCTCAAAGAAAGAGAAAACATGCATGTAAGATCAGAAAGTACATATCCTAAATTAATAATGAACTGTCATAACTGTACATTACAGATGTAGGACAGTAGTGATCACCACTATTATTTATTAAATAGAACAAGAAGAATGTTTCTCTAAAAACTGTAACATCTAGATAGATAGTGAAGGTGACAGAACATACAGAAGCCTGAACGTAAGATGTGGTAAGCTGCATGGTAGTTCTGCAGTTTTGGGTTTGAGAAAAAAGTTGTATTGGTTAGGTCCAGAATTGGAGTAAACGAGGTGGAAAGAAATAGGAATAATAAGTTGACAAGTACACAGAAGGTGAAAAGATTAGAGCAAGCTGTTAATTAGCGCATGGGAGACAATGTTTAAAAAGGAATAAGTTGCAAAAAGCTTTCCTGACTTATGTTGATTTGACTATATTCCTTCATCTGTATTTATTAAAGCTCTTCTCTCTTACTCTGATCTCTGACTCATTCAAGTCACTGTTTGTTTTCCAAAACTCAAAATTGGAAAGACAAGGCAGCAGCTGAGTGGTATAATTCAGGCGTGGATTTTCGTCTTGGATGTTTTCACATGTGAGAGTTAAAGGTGGTCTGAAATAAGGCGAGGCTGTGAAATTATTAATTATTCAAATTAAAATATATCAAAGTTTTATTTAATTATTTGTTTCCTTTTCTGGAGGAGTAAGGTATAAGGCTAACTATGTCTATTGGTGAGAGGAGAGCTTTAATTTATTTATTTTAAAGGTTTTAATTATTTGTACCTCTTTTATTGCACAGGTTATCTGGATTTCAGCTTCCATCATCTATAGTGAGCACAGGTTCTATCCTTACCCTCTGTTTCACCACAGACTTTGCTGTCAGTGCTCAAGGTTTCAAAGCTATCTATGAAGGTAAGAACAATTTTCTTATTTGGTCTTTTACTTGGAATACATTTTACATGCTGAAACGTTTCCATTTTCATTGTTTAGGGTTTGAATCATCATTGACAATTGCATAACCTTTTTTCTGGCATATTTAAATGCTACTACATCGTGGACAAAGTCTTCATTTTGACATTTAATTCAATCTAACTAATACTTTAATTTCAGCTGGGATTTTTAATCAAATTTGTCAGGTTTCTAAAGCTGGATTAGGAAATGCTTACATTTAAATGGGTTTCTTGTTATTTCTTGAATTTCTTTTGACAGTTTCTTTAGGCAGTGCCTGACTAGAGGGATGATAAAAAGGGAAAAAGAGAAGGATGTTAACTGGTCTTGAAAATCAATAGATAATCTTCTAGTGGTGAAAACTTGTATATGTACGTATGTTATACTCTGTGTATTCTTTTCCTTTATTCCCCAAAACCAAAGCAATTCAAAGCCAGTTCTGTGGAAGATACTAGAGTACAGTGATGCCTGCACAGTTCTGGGACAAAAAATAAGTCCAAGCATTTCATATCTTCTAGTGTTAACCAAGAGTTAAGCTCATAAAATTGGACTGGATCAGTTTTTGTAATGTGGTGACTTGTACATAAAGTTTTGAGATCTGCAAACTTTGGGAAAGTGATCAAATACAGTGGTATTAAGTCAGTTGCTTATGCTTGGGTAGCGAGGATGGTTTGAGTGTAACTTCAGAATTGTATTTAAACTATTGTGTAAGCGTTAGCTTGGTTGTTTGTGCTTAATTTTCTGTACTTTTTCCTATTGGGATTGGTTGCTTACCGGTTTGTCTTTCCCTGGTATTTCTTCCCCTTTTGCTTATTCCTCTAAAGCTTTGTCAGCTGAATAGCAAGAATTTCTCTATCTTTTTTTGTTTGTTTGCTTTAAGTTTGGATGAGGACTGTGATGAAAGGCTAGGAAAGTTTAATATTTTTCAAGTTTTATTAGGTAAGTTGAGAAGGAACATGGGTCACCAGCAACTGCTACCTCAGTCTGAAGTTGCTTTCTACATAGATGTGTCTTTCTCTTCTAGCAGATGCATATGGTAATATACTTCATCCTTCTATGCAAGCTAAGCAGTTGGTTTTTTCATATGGAAAAAGATGGTGAAGAATGCTAAAGGATGTCTCAACTGTCATCTTGGGAGCACATGCACAGAGCCACAGGCTGTAATATAATGACACTTCCTGCTGGCCTACTTTCTTGTAAAAACCACAGCAGGAAGATCTGTAATTAACGGCGACAGATAGCACCACTCTCTGGTTAAACAACATTGCCTCCTTTGAGGTTTAATGCTGTAAATCTGGTGTTGTCCACAAGCTTTAAATTGTCTTCAGAATATGACAACCAACTCCCAAAAGTTTGGTGGATGTCATTTGACAGAGAGCATTGTAGTTTATGGACAGGCAGAGGGAGTGGGTTGCTCGGGAAGGATTTGCAGTAGTGGGGTGTTAGGAGTTCATTTTCTGAAAATTGGGAGTGATTTCTTTATCAAACTCATAACTACTATAAGGGACAATAGACTCACCAAAAATGTATAGTTCTAAAAAATCCATTAACTCTCTCTGACTACTCTTTTTATTTTTATTTTTTGCTACTATGCCATATGTAATTTTGTAAGTAGGTAGGTGATCGGTCTCTCTGAGACAGCTGAATACAACCCAGATGTTAATAGTCACTGCAGATCTTAATAGCTGCTCTGCTGGCTACCAATCCCTAAGCTAGTTTGCTTTTAGTAAAAGTGTCTAGTTGTCCCTGGCGTTAGCCTGCTCTTTATTCTTCTCTGGAGTAAATGAATTACTGCTCAGTTGGAAGCATTGGGAGGGTTGAAGTGCCACTGATTGTTGCCATTTAAGATTTTGGGACACCATGGTTGTAACAATTTGAGAAATGCAGCTTTAAACATCTTATTTGGAGGGAAGCTTTAACAGCATGTCAGCTGGCAGAGGCAGCATGTTTAAAAAAAATATGTATATTTATAATGATACCTAAGGGAGTGATTTTTTTTTTTTTTTGTAACTGATTTTTGGATGGAAGGTGGAAGTGTACAACATTCAAAAGTAATTATTGAAACAGGGAAATGCCCTTGTGTCCCTGTGTAAAGGCAGGCAAAGGAAACCTCCTGGTGTTGTACCACTTGTCTTACAGTAGTGGATGAAGCAGGTCTGAAAAATCCAAACTAATTAATTTGCATAAACTTCATACACTCTGGGAGTCTGCAGAAGTGATTTGTTTTGTTTTTTTAAACACTTTTGATAGATCACTCTTTCACACGCATAAGAAGACTTCATCTTATTAGGATTGCTATCTTCATACATTCAAAAAATGTAACTGATAAGTGTCTTCAAAGTTGGCTGTGCTATTGAAAGTCAGTACTTCTAATGTGATCATGTTGGTGGCTTGACAGCAGTCCTTCCTGACAAACAGGAAGGATTCTCTGCTATGCTGAGCTTATGCTTTTCAGAGCAGAGGCAGTACTGTTGGGAGGCTTCTCCCTTACTTTCTGAAAGATGCTCTTTTGAACTTACACCATAGTGACTGAGGTTAGGGCACTGAACTAGGAAAGAAGGTACGTGAATCACCTTTCAACAGCCTCTGAGGAAATACGCCAGCACCCACTGCGGGGAGATAGCACTGTATGCCATTGCCTGAGCTGAGATTCAATTTTGTGTTCTAGTGAATATATTCCCAATTCCCTGCTTCCTGTGTAGAAATTAAATACTTGAGTCCTTTGTGTTTTTGCAATATGTAAAAACAATGAAGCTAGTGAAATCACATACTAGTACCCTGAGCACTTGAACGTTATTTGAACCTATCTGACGCTGCCTGCTGTCATCCATATGCCACATGAATATTTATACTTAACGAAACCTGATTTTGCAGCAGTACTCCAGCAAGAGCCATCTATTAGTGTTAACAAGACACTGATGTAGCTAGGCAGTTGCCTGGATCATAGACTGAAATGTAGGTTTCTTTACTGTATCGTTACTTCATCAGGTTTATAGATCTGCTTATAAGAGACTACTGTTTTTAACTACAACGTTGATAATACTGCAGTCTTCTTCAGTGCAGATGGGAGCTTGAATTATTCTTATTTTCTGACAACTTTTATCCATGGGATTTTGAGACATATCACCATCAAAATATTTATACATTTCAGAAGTAATAAGTGCAGTTCAACTTAATCAGCTGAACAATTTATTGACCATTATTGTCACTTATGGGTAATAATTAAATCTAAGTCTAAAGATTTGGGAATTGAATTCTGTTTCTGTAATGTATTGTTTTATTGACGATGCCTTACATTGTAAGAACATTATATTTAGCCCTAAGTGGGGAAAGGGAAAAACAGTAATATACTTGCAACTGGTGCAATTTTATTTAATTCCCTGTAAAAATCAATTTATTTCCTGTTTCTTGACTGGAAATAACAAACTTTTTTTTTTTTTTTTTTTTTTTTTTTTTTTTTTTTTTTTTTTTTTTTTTTTTTTTTTTTAAGATGCTTTGAGCGCAATAAATTTCAGCACAGTTTTATTGTTGTAGTAACTTTCTCTGAAAAATTCAATAGTATTCCTCCCGTAAAGAACACTTGTGTGTGGTTGGAAATAAAACAACAACAGCAAAAAATCCTCTTTGAAATGAGGGCAGTATCTGAAATGTTTTGCACATGTGTGCTTTAAATAATGCATGGTAAAATGGTTATATGATCTCTCTTATACCAAAGTATTTTCTGCCATGTATTTGCTCAGGGAATGCAGCTGTTAAGAACACAGCATTCTGAAAGTTGGAAAAACTTAATTCTTGGTATGCTTATAAGAGACTACTGTTTTTAACTACAACATTGATAATATGCAGTCTTCCTCAGTGAAGATGTTAGTCCTGTTCCAACAGCTCCACGTGCTGGGGGCCCCAGGCCTGGACACAGTAGTCCAGTGGGGCCTCTGGAGGGCAGAGCAGAGGGAAGCAGTGGCCTCTGTCTCCCTGATGGCCATCTCTTTTTTGATACAGCCCAGGATACCACTGACCTTCCAGGATATTCTGCCTTCTGCTACTAAACACTAGATTGTCCTTAGCAATCACTGGCTCATTTTTAGACTACCTTGATTTTGGTTGTTGCTGCTGTTGTTTTTGTTTTTAAACAGATTTTATAAGATGTATATGTAGAGTTTGTGGACAGTGTTCAAGTCTGTTATAACTGGTTTGTTTAATGTGTGCTAGTACCTTTCCTTTGACCTCTGTTCTACAGTAGCAGTTTTTCTTTGCTCAAGAAGGAACTCTTGCATTTCCCTCTGTCTTACCTGCCATTAGGGTATTCTGCTTTTTTTTCTTTCGGTCTTTGAATTTTTGAAGCTTTCTGCTCAGATGCAGCATTAACATTTATACTGGTAGTCACGTCTTCCTGCCTTGTGGATCTTCCCTGAAGCTTTTTAAATTCTTTTCAGCATCAGCAGTAGAATATGGTGATACACTTCCACAGTGAATTCTTTGAAGAATTCTTGCTTCTTGTCCCCAGATGTTTGTCACTTGGTGTGCTTTTTATATTAATTATTTTGAGTGAATATTCTAAACTACTTTTTAAAAAGTGAAACTTTTCCTCACCCAGGTTGGAGACAATAGCCTCTTGTAATGACACTGAGTTCAGATAGTTATCTTGACACTGTGGTTTCCCCATCAGCAAGGACGCAGTCAAAATATCAGGCCTCAGGGCTTAAGCTAACATTCCTCCTTCACTCAGCTTCTCCAATAGGAGTCTATGATTCTACGATTCTATTCTATGGTTCGGTTGTTTGCTTTTCCTCAAGTACCCAAATATCTTTAGAGCCCTTTTCATTGAATCATAGAATGGCCCGGGTTGAAAAGGACCTCAAAGATCATCTAGTTTCAACCCCCCTGCTATGTGCAGGGTTGCCAACCACTAGACCAGGCTGCCCAGAGCCACATCCAGCCTGGCTTTGAATGCCTCCAGAGATGGG